AAACTGGCGGTGAGTTTGAAGATGCGAGGAGGCTCACTGTATCTGCAGAAGGAAGGGAGAATAAAGGAGGACTCTTGGAGTCCGGGCAGTTGTGCTGACTTCAATAGCATGGATCAGAGGTAGACCTTCTCCATTTCCATCGGTAGAAGCAGAAAGAGGGAAGTTTATCAGCTGGCACAGATGAACTAGGACAGTAGGGTAAAGCTATTGCCTACTGAAAAGTCCCTCTCAACTCATGTGGGTCCATTAAAATAGCAAAAGAAAATTTCCCAGGGAAGAATGCAAAGTGGTAAAACTTAATATGTACCAGATCAGGGCAGGAGCTCCTTCCTTCTGTGAATAGATCATAGACAAGAAAGACTAAAAAAGTCAAGGCTTCTTCCATTTTGAAAATACTAGTGGTAAATGCTCCTACACGTTCCACTGCCCCAAATACTGTGTGGAGGTTTCCTTCAATTATCTTTTGGAAAGTTAAAACGTGGCAGGCTCAGCCTCCCTTGCAAAGAAAATCTGATCCTTAATATAACCAACAGGCTGTGCCCTATCCCCTCTGCTCTGGACTCTTTGAGCTCCACAAGGCTGGGAACAGACCGACTCCATCCGTGCCAAAAAGCCGCACCCACAGCAATCACATCCTGGAACAGAGACAGCTTCTGTAGGGAAGGTATGCCTGAAAGAAGCTGTTAAGCTCAGGAGCACAATGCCAGTGAGAGTTAATCAGATCTGTGCTTCTTAACTGGGGAGGTTTTTGTTTTTTTAAAACCTTGCTTTTTAAAATGAGTGCTGATCTCGTGCTACCTTCAGGATATCTGTGCCCACATCCAGGTGGTCAGACACCATGCTCTTGCATTGTGCCCATGTCCCCCATGCCCAGCCTGCTGGGTGTTATTTAAGCCGTAAGATATGACAGAGCATTCTTTATGGTGCCATTAATTGATGCTGTGGGTGACTTTAACCACCTAAGAAGTATATTAATAGCCCTATAAAATACACCCTGGAGTGTCTTAATATGGTTATGAGATTGATCGTCAGCTTTGTATTCCACTGTGTGTGTTATTATTGAAATAAATTGTGGAGGAGGTGATAGTGCATCCCAGGGAGGGGTGAGTTGTCTTTTCTTGGGCTCCTGGGGTCCTAAAGTCATATGGTCTTCTGTGGAGCATGCTGTGGGATGGTGCCCAAACCAATGAAAAACCACAAGTGTGTCCATGTTGGCTGCTCTGTGGCACTGACCAGATCTGCATGTATTTGGATCTGGAGCTTTCCTCCAAGTACAGCAGCTACCATGGAGCAGTACCAGCTTGTACAAAAACACAGTGCAGACAGTTCCTCTCTTGTAGATGTTGGGATTACTAAGAACAACAATTCCTGTTTGGGGAGTGCAGCAAACCATGACTTTCCTATTGATAGATGCTGGCAGCATGAGTGTACCAACAGGAAAACAGCCAGACCTTGTTTAAGGTCTCTTTTGTCCCAAGATCCAAAGGCTCGGGCTTTTGAAGCCTCAAAGTCCTTGATATCAAAGTATTGAGGGTCTATTTTTTAGCTGGAAATTAAAAATTAATTCTGTTGTATTAAGTAATCTATGCTTTCATTTGTAGCCTTAATCACTGTCTTTTTAAGCACAAAATTTCAGAGATGCTTATGAGACCAAGAGTGCAGACTGGCAATGTTTTTGGAAAAACTATTTTAGTTTCTATTGTGTATTTGCGGTGGGACTCAAAGCACACAAAACCCCTTCTGGAGGAGGAAGAAAGGCTCATTTCACTTATCCCAACAGATTAGAGGCTGCTGACAGATGGGCCACCAAACCATAGTTACTGTAGATGAAAGAGCAAGGGAACCCGGCTCTGCTTAGAGCTCTGAGCCAATCCAAAGCAGCTTTTCATGGCAGTGTGATGGGCTGGGAGCTGAAGTGTGTGGCATCCCATGAGGGATGAGGCCTGAGCAGCAGGTGAGGCAGGATGGCTGCAGAGAGCCTTGCTTGGGTGAGAACTGTCTGTGATTCTCCCTGCCCTGGGTAGGAAGTCAGTCAAACACAGTGTGTGTGGAGGAAAATTGAAGGGAGGGTCCTAAAATCAAGAGAAAGCACTGGGTGAGGTTTGTGGGTTTTGTTAATTACCAGAAAGAACAATTTAGAGAACACAGTGGCCCAGACATGAGTACGGCATTAGCATTACGACAAGAACAGATCACACTTGCATTAGTTCTGCAGTGTTTGCAAGCAAACAGAAAACGACCCTCTTAAATCTGTTGTGCCATAAATCTCACCAGCAAAATTGCTTTTCCAAATAATGTTCTTCAATTTATTTTTTTTTCCATGAGGCATGAGCAGTTCTGTGCTCTAGGCAGTCACAATTCATGTGACACTCACGTGGGTCCCAGATGAATTTTAGCTTGGTGGGGCTGTCACATCACACATCGCCCACAACGGTGGTGATGAAAATACGTCACACCCAGGTCCCAGCTGCAGGCAGGACTCTCCTTGGGCTGTGATCTCACATGGGTGACACAACCATCAGCCAGCAGGAAGATGAAATACAAACCCTTCCCTTCAGCCACGCTGCTGTGTTCATTCCCTAGGGGGACTTAGCTTGATCACTGATCCAGGTTTTACTGGTCAAGGCACAATAAAACTGTGCCCTGATTCTAAAAGTGACAAAATGTATAGCTGGTTACAAAGCCAGCCAATGCAGATATAAGGCAGCTACAGCAGCAGCAACCTAGAGAATCAGCACAGCTTTTGTTGGGTAAGAAATAAAGCTCCAAGTGGAAAGAAACATTTTAGAAGAATGGAGGGGATGTAAGTGGTAAGCATAGCAGATAACATATTAATCTGCCTATGATAGCGAAAATTTCTTTCAAAATATAGTTGGCCTTAATAAAAGCATGTCTAGCACTGAAGAATCCAATATTACCTTTGGCAGCTTTGTTTCATAACTGCTTACCCTAACAGTTGGAAAACAATTTATTTCTTGTCTGAGACAGCAGAGGGGCAGGCTGACAAAATGGTGTCTGACATGGAGGGGCGTATGGAGAAAAGGGGTGGAATTGAATTCCTCCATGTGGAAAAAAAATGCACCTATTGACATTTATCAAGTCCTGCTGAACATTTATGGAGACCAAACTGTGGAGGTGAGCACACTGAAGTGGCGGGTGCTGCATTTCAGCAGTGGTGACAGTGCATCACCTCAGCTGGTGCAGATTTTTATAAGTGCAGTGTGCAGGCTGTCGTTCACTGCTGGCAAAACTGCACTGCTAATGGTGGTGACTACGATATTGTTTTGTAGCTGAGAATTTGCTCTATCCAATAGTGTTCATTGTGGTTTTTGTATCTTTTATATTTCCCAACAAAACAAATAGGAGGCATTACTTTTGGAGCGACCAACATATTTGCCAGCAAAGAACTGATGCTGGCCTTACACTGCCTGCTCCAGCCACCTTGCTCTGTGTGTACAAGAAGCTCAGTGCCCCTGGGTGGCTTTAAGGGCTGCAGTGCCAACCAGCAGCACAGCTCACGAGGGCAGCCCAGTTTGCCTTGCGGTGACTGGAGGGAGCCAACAGCAGGATCCCTTTCAGGGGACCACAGAGGTGGTTGCTGCCCTATGCATGTTGGTGTTCAAGAGGCATTTGGACAACGCCCTCATTAATATGCTTTAACTTTTCATTAGTGCTAAGGAGGTCAGGCTGTTGAATTCAACGATCTTTGGAAAGTCCCTTCCAATGGAACTATTCTACTCTGTTCCATTTTGTTCCGTTCCAATTTGTATTTCATGAGTCCACTTCTGCATTTCCCTTTGCTCCCAGAGAGGCAGGCTCTTCTGTGCTCCTTGGAAGGAGCTCTGCTATTCATTTCAGCATTTTGAGCCCTGGCAGTCCCATAAGCTTCCCATGGAAGCATGCAGAGCACGGGGCTGACTGCTGTGCTCTTTCAATGGGACAAAGCATCCCCGTTCCCTGGCCTGAAGCTGGCTGTGCCACTCAGGCTGGAGAGCACGGCTTCTGTGGCTGCAGAGCATTGCCTGCAGTGGTGCGGATTTGAGGAAAAAGTTGTGGGAGGAATCTTGGCTGCAGGAAAGCAGTGATGGGGATGCTGGGTGTGAGAAGACAGGACTCCTCCTTTCATCTAGGACAGATGGAAGGGCTGGGAAAGGCATTGCTGTCATCCCACTTTTGGGGTCCAGGAACCAAGCCCAGCTGAGCTGCAGCTACAGCTGTTGCATACGTCCCCCAGGCCTGTTGGCATCACAGATCATCTGGGTACATGCATGGCTTGAGAGACGAGAGCACGCCTGACGGCAGCGCAGGGAACATGGGGCTTTGCTCCTCAGTGTCACTTCTCAGTTCTGATTAGCATTGAAACAGAGCATGCACGCATCTGACAACCGAACTCCTTGCTGAATGAGGAATGGTCGTGCATTAGACTGCTCAAAATGGGGCCTGGCTTTTAGGTTTGGAGGTATGGAGCGTGAGCGGGAAGGGAAAGCTGGTGCGGGCACACTGACAGTCCCCACTGGAGTTTTTGCACGAGTTCTGGGTAACTTTGACGAGCACGTGGATGGCCGCATACAATTCCTCCCCACCAGAAAGACATCAGTGCAGGTCTGTCCCGCGTCTAAACAACTGCACGGGAAAACAAAACGCGAGAACATTATTGACGTTAGAAATTCCGGCACTCCGGAGCAGGCAAGCAGAGAACCGAGGACTCGCGCACAGCCTTCTCCCAGCGCTGCCGAGCGTTTCCTTACCGCGCTCCCGGCTCGTGCGAGCCTTCCCACCGCGCCCACCCGAAAGCACAGGTGAGCGCCCGCCCCGCACCTGCGCACCTGGCACGGCCCGCAGCCAAGCGCGGCACCCATCGCCCCTCCGCACCGCCGCGCGCACGGCCATCCCGCGGGGCGCTCCGCCTCCGCCCGCCCCGAGCGGCGCGAGCCGGGGTGCGGGGCCGGCACGGGGGCGGGGAGGCGGGCGGGGGCCGGGGCGGGCCGTGCCAGGGCGCCTGCGCCGGAGGTGCGGAGCGCGGCGGAGCGGGACGGAGCGAAGTGAAACAAAACAAGCGGGGCTTTGTAGCGCCTTAAAGGCGCCGCGCCCGCGCCCGCGGAGAGAGAGAGAGAGAGAGCGAGAGCAGAGGAGGAAGGAGAGAAAACAAAGCGGCCCCGCGGTGGTGGAGACAGGGAGGGCGAGAAGGAGCCGGATTTGCTTACTGAGCACTTTTTAAATTTTTACTTTTTTTTTTCTTTCTTTCTTTTAGTTTTTATTTTTATTTTTTATTATTTTTTTTTAAAGTCTCTTCCGCGGGCGCGGAGCCATGCGGGCGCGGCGCCGGCGGTGATGGCTGTGAGCGGGCGGCGCGGAGCGGTCTATGAGGCGGCGGGTCGGAGCCCCTGCGCACCTGCTTAACGCGCCGCCGCGGGCGCGGAGAGCCGCGCAGCGCCATGTCGCGGGTCGTCCAGAAGAAGAACCACTGGGCCAGCCGGGTGCGGCAGTGCGCGCTGAGCCGCGGGCCCGGCGGGCAGCTGGGCTTCGTCCTGCTGGGCGGCGCGGAGCACGGCGAGTTCCCCTACGCGGGCGCGGTGGCGGCGGGAGGCGGCGAGCAGGCGCTGAGCGAGGGGGAGCTGCTGCTGGAGGTGCAGGGGGTGCGCGTGTCCGGGCTGCCGCGCTACGACGTGCTGGAGGTGATCCGGAGCTGCAAGGAACCCATCGTGGTGAAAGCCGTCAAACAAGGTGCGAGGGGCCGGGGGGTGTCCGCGAGTGGGGAAGGTGCGGAAGGGAGAGGTGAACGTTTCCCCTTTGGGCAGCGCAGGCTGTGCGAGCAGCGAGGTTTGCTGCCCGTGTCACGCTTGTACACACCCGCGCGCTCACCTTTGCCACGTGCAAGCGTGCGGCCGGATGCCTGCATCCCTACGGCCGGGCGCGTCGTCTCGAGCCCTGCTCACACGTTCCCAGGCTGCGTTAAGCGATTGAGGAGATTGGCCTCCCCGCGCCCTGAGGCCGGAGCCGGCACCCCAACCGGTGTTGCGGTACAGAGTGGTGGGTTTACCCCTCCCGCAGCCCCGCATCGCTCCCTGCAGCGGTGACGGATGGATACTTGGCCAAAAGTGAGCGTGTGCTCCGTGCCTGCGTGGGACTGTCGGCTGGGGGAGGGGGAGTGCTGCCAGCCATCCCTTAGGGCTGCTCGTTGATGGGTGACGGCTGGCGTGGGGCTGCTGTCCCTTAGGTGGGGGCGCACACAGGTGTAGCTTTGAGCTGGGCTGGGCTGGGACAGGAACGGTAAGAGACCTTTAGAAAAAAACACTTTGTATCCTCGTACACAAAGCAGTGATACAACAGGTCAACGTCACAAGCGTGGCAACCAATTTGCAGTTTCCAGGGCAGGACTGGAATTCAGTGCCAGGAAACTGCCCGTGCTGCTATGGGACGGGTGGGACGACAGATGGACACCTGCGATGACACAGCTGTGAGGGAGGGAGGAAGGAAGGGCAGGTTCCATAGGGGGAGTCGTTAGGAGAAAGTTTGATGTGGTCCGGGCACATCGAGAAGTTTGGGGGTGTGCGGTGGGTGGAGCTGCACGGAAGCACAGCCATTCATCAGTAATTTGGAACAGGTTCCCAATGTGTAGTTACAGTAACACTTGGAACAGACTGCCTGGGGAACGGTGAAGTCACTGGAGATGTTTAAGGGCAGATGTGGTACTTAGGGACATGCTTTACTGGGTAATACTGGTGGTGGGTGGATGATCTTAGAGGTCTTTTCCAACTTTAATGAACTTTGAAACTGTAGAGATATTCCAGCAAACAGTGCCAAACTCCACCAAACCCAGCTGTCTTTAATGCCTGCTTTCCCTGTTGCTGAGGAACAGAGCGGTTGGTGCAGACTGCCTGGACTGGGGGGCAGGCAGGAGGCTGAAGTATGGGGAAATGGAGCAGGTTTTGGTGTATCATTTGTTGTAGTAGGTGTTAAAATACAGCCTGCCATGTTGCAGTGTGGTCAGTGGGTGAAGGAAGGTGTGCAAATCCTTCCCAGCAAGCCACTGGTGATTAAACTTTTGGTTGTTTTGGAAACATTCATTAGTCTAAGTAGAAACTTGTCTTTGAAACGTACCAGAAATGACAGAATTTGATGGTAATCACATCTCGGCTCCAGGATGGTCAAAACAGGAGGCAGACAACTGGTTTGTAGGGTGCTGGTTGGGATTACCTTGAGCTGGGGAGAAAAGAGTTCAAAGCTGAGCCTGGAGTCGTGGCAGGCACTTGAGCCTTGCATCATTCATACCCAGAGGGGAGAGCCAAGCCTGGCTATGATGGTGATGATGATTGCTTTTTGAATGTTTTGTTAGAATGAAATGTAGAATAGAAATATATAGTTTTGTCAATCGTTCTTTTTTTTTTTTTTTTTCTCCTTTTTTTGTGGTTTGGAAACTGCTCCATGTGCCTCTCAATGATAGCCTGGCATCTGTGCTCCGCTCTGCGCTGAGCAGGGAGCTCCCTCATGGGTCAGGATTCCATGTGTAGGAAAGGAGAGTTTTAATTAAAATACATTACTTCTCTGCTGATTAAAAAGCTCATTGCGGGGATGGCAGCTGTCATGCAACAGGAAGCATGTGGCACTGGAGCAGAAAGCAAAGGAATGTGAAGATGAGGATGTAAGCACACATCAAACTCTGATTCTCCTCCTTTTCCCAGTGCGTGGTGCCCAGTCCACTGGTGCTGCAGTGCTAGGGTGATCTTAGCCTGGAAATGTATACGTTTTACTGCCTGGTCTATTTCGTATGACATTTACAAGGCTGGAAAAAACAGGAAATTTACTATAAATGAGTCAGTCATCTGTAAGCACAAACAGAGAAAATAGGTGTTCTGACCTTGCAGTTAGTGGACAATAAGGGACTGGGATGTGAAACAAAGGTCAAATAAGCTGTGCACGTGTTCTGTCATTAAAGAGGTTTATAGACTTGCAGGTCCACATGCAATATTTTCTTTTTCTTTTGTGAGCTGTAAGTTTGAGTAGATTCCCACAAAGTACAAAAATGGGGAACGTTTATGAATTTGCTTAATTGGAATAGCAGTATTTCATATTGCTGGTGTGGGATTTCTTGGTCCTTCGCTTACCCTGAGAAGGAGAGTGAGGAACTAGAGAACTTTTATGGGGAAGAGAAAGGAAAAAAAACTTTGTGCCCTTTTTTGGTATTATGCTTGAGGGGAAAAAAAATACCACTACATTTGGTTGTTTTGGGGAAGAGAGAGGAAGAATCTACTGCTGTGTGTCTTTCAGGGCTGTCAGAGGTGCGAAAGAAAGCTCCGTTATGCTTTTATAACTGTTTTCATCTTACATCTGTGCCTTCATTCCGATGGAATTGGCAATGAACTCCTGTGCAGTTAATAAATGCTGTTTTATTATTACTTGGTCTGAGAGTAAAGAATGAATAGATGGGATTATAGGAGCAATGGTAGCGCGTTCTTGTGTAAAGCTTGCATTGCTCTAACACAGCCATTTCGTGGCTGTATTGCTAAAGCTGAAGTTTCCTTGAATATAATTCATGGTTTTCAGAATAGCTTGATTACAGAAATCAGAAATAAATGGCAGGGTGCTAAACTGGGCCCCCTGTGTGAGGTATGGTGGTGTGGCCCAACGCAAGAGACGTTCATCGTGTGTCTTCATGAGGGAGGAATGAAGGCTGTATCTTCATATCTGTCACATGGCGTTTCCTTTAAGGCAAGATATATGGGTTTTCTTTCTCTCCCTGAGAGGGAGAGACACATTTATAGAGGTTTTGGGCTGTGGCCTTTTGTTTTTGTACACTGGTTGGTGACCTGTGCCAGCTGCTGCCCGTGCCAGGCGCCGAGGCAGGAGATCTGCCGGAGCTCATGTTCCCATATGCTTATTTTTAAATTGCTTTTCAGTCCTTCGTTCAACTCTTTGCTCCTGCAAAAAGTCTCTCTCAGGATCCTGAGCCGCTACATAACCAATGGTTGTGAAACAGTGAGGTATTTCCATCAGGTCGATGCAATTAATGATTTGGGTAGTCCTTTGGAGCTGGGCTGGTCCCATGGTTGGGAGGAGCTGTGGCTTTATGTCAGCCACGTTCAGGGCAAATAGGAACAGGCGTGATGGAACTGCTGGCTGTTTACGCTGTGCTGTGGGCTCTGTTCATTTCTTTTCAAACATTAACTTGGCCCTGAGGTAAATCCTCAGGCACAGTTTGGTGAGTGAACGCTTGCAGTGTCAGGTTGGCATTTGCCATAGCAGCAAAGTGTTGAGATCAGTTACACCCACCAAAGTGAATAAAAACAGCTTCTTCCAAAAAGCTGGTGTGAGCAGAGGTTGGGCTTTTTCTTCCTGGAGATGGTTTGTGAGAGAAGTGCTTTGAGGACCTAAGTGGATTCAGAGTGAAAGCTCTGATATGCCAAGTGCAGAGATGTTGGTGCATTTTAGATTGGTAAGGTCTGTTTTCAACACTGCCCCTCTGGGATAAGCATCAGGCAGGGCCAGTCACTACCGAGACGTAAAATAAAAGAGGACAGATTCTCTCTTTCGCATGGCTTCTCATATATTTTGTTGCAAACCATTAATCTTCTCTTTAAAGTGGTACTGCCTTCGCTGTCTGGAAGATGTCTGCCTGCTTGCTGGAATGCTGCTGCTGGATGGCCATCTGGCCATTGCAGTGCTGACCATACGGCCATCTCCTTGTCAGGGTGCAGAAGCTGGTGCTGCTATGGCAGAGCACAACCATCCTGCTTTAGGTGATGATTCAGTGCCACATCCCTGAGTCGGAATTAATACGATCCTTTTAATGGCGTGAAATGGGATTATGTTTTTCACAATGAGGTTAATCTTTCCGCTCATTGTGATGGGACTCCGGGCTCCCTCTTTATGGACGGTCAGATCACAGTGCAATTAAATCACAATTAAAGTCTCATTATGAGCAGTATTTCAGCAGTGTTGCAAAATAAGATGTTAACACCATTCTGTGTGTTGTTTCAGCTTATTTTTTAAGACAGTTACAACTTCTGCATGAGTGAATTACTGAGCTGCTGTTGTGATATTTAAGGTTCAACTTCTGTGTGTCTTGTTAGAAATTTCAATTTAACCTCTTAACAGGTTTGAAAACCAAACCATCTGTAGCTCATTGTATTGCTGTCCTTGGGATTGTCATCTTGTCCTCGTTCAGGCTCCTTCATGAACCTTCTGACCATTGCTGTATCTATTTCTTTGCTGCCCAAATGTCCCCCTTCCTCCTGCAGTGGGTGTATGCATGGGGACACACTGACCTGCAGCAGCAGCACAACCTTGAGTGCAGTTCCTGTGGCAGCGCAGAGCCATCATTTGGGTCAACAAGTCCCTGGTTTGTTCTGTTTCAGCGTTGCTCAGTTTGAAGGAAGCTGAGGAGATACTGCTGCCTCAAAGGCATTTCCTATTGAATTAGCAATGTCTGAGCTGTGGGCAAGGGTAGCAGCCTTAGGACCTCTATTGATGTTTCTTTTTTTTTTTTAAAAAAAAGACCAAGATCGTTATGTACATTCCTTAGTGGTTGGTAGTTCTTTCAGCTCTTCTTTTTCCCCCTTTGTGTTCCCTCACTTTGATTGGAGCTCATAAATCAAGGCCTGCAGGTTTTTGATCTCTGTGGTCTGCAAGTGACCTTACATCTCTTGATGAAAAGCACGCGGCAATGGTTCTGTATGCACAAGTGCCATGCATTTATGGAAGCAGTATGAAGAGTTCAGTGTAAG